TCATTCAAAATAAGTGAAAAGTCAAATTAATAAATTTCCACAAATCAAAATTCAGAAACTTGTTCAAAGATTGTTTCAGAGCAATCACAAAATGTAAGCCGGTTGAAAGGGTAAGTCTATGACAAAATAGTTCTGTCTTATGATATACTAGGTAATTGTGCTTTGTGTGTCCAAACTAAAATATATTCTGTAAAACGTAGAATGCTAAAATGAATGATTGTTATAGAAAAAAAGAAGAAAAAAAGTAAAAATAATGTTTCCTAAGAAATCAGGTCATTTTAACAGGGGTTTACTGTATTTTAGGCGAGTGGCAGAACTTTTTATGTTTGATTTTGAGATCAGTGGCATTCATTTGGATGAAGAAAAGGTAATTTTTTTGGCTATTATATCTTAATAGAGATTGCTTTTTAACTGTCAAATTCCTAGTTTGGATAGTGTCCTGTTCACTTTTTTGGAGGCTAATTGGTCCTATGGGGAATTAATACACACAACTTTTTGTCTTGCGATGTGCTGGAGATCCGCCACTTTGGAGTAGACTTGATTAATCAAGTGTGCTCTGCGCATGAGCTGATGTGAACTGCACTGCACCATGTGCAGTTGTATAAGCAGTGATATGCGCATCAGTGCCCAGAAAATGGAAACAGTGCGCTTTTGAACTAAAACACCATGCTTGCATGTGTAAAAATGTCCTTAGTCCCCAGGTTTGCCCTTTCATGCTACACCAGGGAGTTATAAGCAGTGCCTTGGGGAATTCTCTCAGAGCAAATTAGGTGCATTTTTAAGCTATCTCAGGAAAAACATGCTTCCCATTATCTAGATAACTGAGTAATCAAAACGTTAGGAGGGATCAAATCTATGTTTAGACCACAGTTTATGTTCTGGCATTGGTAAGTTTCATGGTAGCTTACCCAAAACTTCATCTGGGTTCATCAGAGCTGGCAGATTTCATTGAGATCTGTGTTGCCTAAATATCCTTCCTGTTGTTTGTGGCATACAAGCTGTATTTCTACATGAGACGATCTCTTTTACAACTTTTGAGTTCCCACAAGTCCAGGCCCACACAAAGACTGTTGGACTACATGCAAGTGGCAGGCTGGTCACAGGGGTTTGAGATGCTGCAAGAGACGCATGCGGGCTCGTCTGGACGTGCCCATAGAGTCATAGATCAGTACAGCTGGAAGGGATCTCCACAGGTCATGAATCTCTGCCTGAGGCAGGATCATTCCTATCCAAACCATCCCATACAACTATAATTTAAACTGTATATAAGATTACCATCAACCCTGACACAACATAAACCTAACACCCTAACCTGCCCCAGGTAAAGCAGAGGAACCCTGGCAGCAAATATCATGCTCCTATAAAATGTTTTCAATATGTGCTCAAGAGGTCCTGGGTAGAGGTCCATGGCCCTCGCTACAGAGTAAAGTAAAAACCCCTATAGTGTGTACCAGTCTGACATGGGGTAAAATTCCTTCCTGATCCCAAATATGACAGTTGGTCTGACTCTGAGTGGAGGGGCAAGACCCTCTAGTCAGAAACCGGCTTTGCTCTGAGTAGGACAGAGGTGGGCAATTATTTTGGGCAGAAGGCCGCTTACCCAGTTTTGGCAGGCTGTCAAGGGCTGCATGGGTAGTCCCGCCCCTTGACAGGTGCCCCACCCCCTGGTCACCACCAGTGTCCCAATGTCTTGGGACCAGTGTCCCAGGGCCAGCACCGGTGGGGCCCAGAGCAGGGCACAGGCCGGCAGGGGTCTGTGGATCTGGGCTGGGCTGGGCTGCACCAGCAGGGAGTGGGGAGCTGGCCCGGCTCCATAGAGCCCCTGCTGGCTGGGACCCCGTGCTCCTGCCATCCTGCTCTGGGCCCTGCCGGCGCTGGGCCTGGGACACTGGTGCAGGCCTTGTGCTCCCGCTGACTCCTAACCCGCTCACACCCAGTGCCCCCCAGTCCCATGGTACAGGCGGGGGGCAGCGCACAGCCCTGACCCCCTGTTCACCAGCAGGGAAGAAGCTGGTGCTGAGCGTGGAGAAAAGTGTCCCCTCACCTGCCCCATGGCCTGTGCTCCCTGCTCTGCAGGTGCTTGCAGCCCGTGTGGGGCTGTCCCAGGCAGCCTCCTGCGGGCTGCAGGTGGCTGCAGCCCGGGGGGC